AGTGCGTGGATGAGCTCCCTCTGTCAGCTCCAGCTGCCTACACGGGGACATGAGAGAAGCCTCCCACAAGGATGGTAAAACATCAAACATACAAGCATCCCCTCAGCAGCGTCCTTTCAGACAGCCAATTCTCTCATACCAGAAGCGACTTGCAGTTTCTCAAGTTGCTCCTGATACGGGGGGGGGGGAGAGAACCAGGAGAAGGTGGCCTACACATACTGCACAAGTATCATGGTGTCATCAAAATTGACTCTACTTCTACAGATATTTACAGATATACAGTGTTCACTCACTTATTGCAGGGGTTCTTTCCAGGACCCTTCGCAATAAGTGAAAATCCGTGAAGTAGGGATGCCATATTAATTTTAATATTTATACATTATTTTATATATTATTTTCATATCCACGCTTCCTTACCCATCTCCCAGCACATCCCAAGGGTGCCTGCCTGCCTCCCTGGCCTCCGCAGAGCTTCCGGAGCCACACAGGCAGCAGCAGGCTAGGGAGCCACACCTTCCCTGCCGTGCCTCAGGCCACCACACTTCTGGGGTCCTTGGCCTCCACTGGATGTAAAATGTGTATATTTTATATTAATATTTTGAAAAAACCGCAAAAGAGTGAGTCCACTAAAATCGAACCGCAAAGTAGCGAGGGAACACTGTATAGGAAAAGAAAATCCTTTTGTCTCAACTTAAATCGGCTTCACCAATTTAACCTAAGGCACATTCCCATTATACGTGAATGATTTCCATTTAACTGCTGTGGCAACAATGTACTGAATCAAGGGAGATACATTTCACATTCTCAGCCGGAGGCTTCTTTAGTCCCTCATCACACCACCAACCCCAGGTTTCAATATCATGGAATCAGTGCAATCAAAATGGAATAAGCCTTATAACTGTGTGGTATGGATGGCCCATGATCCACAGAAATTTCATAAATCAGACAATTCCTCAATGTACTAAAGGTGATACAGTTATTAGTGTTAGAAAGGATGTTGAATATTCCTGTTCTAACCTTCTACAATTCACTGAATGACTCCATAGCTTGGTTTTACCTTGATTTTCTTTACAGTTTGTCATGAAGATAAAGTGGGTAGTACAAAGCCACAATGGAGGAAAGATAGGGTATAAGTATTTTTTTAAAAAAATAGAAAAATAATACATTTTAAATAATTACTTTCCATCAAGTTGACTTCAACTTATGGTGACCCAATGAATGAGAGATCTCTAGGGCTAGATCTACACATACCCATATATTCCAGAGTAAACTGCGCCAGAGCTACCCAATGTGGCCCTGGAGTCCTTTGGGCATCCAGACAGCCAAAAGGCCAAGGGTGAATTAGGAATGCCATTGCTATGTTGTGGGCCACAACCGCTGACTCTTACGGCCTCACCATATGGGTTAATTTGCCCATTGTATGCCAGTTCCTCTCCCTTTTTGTTACAGAGCCCATTCCATGGTGTACATCTACTTCCAGCGGTGCTCCATGGCAAAAGAAGAGAGGAAGAGACACATGCCTCCATGGCAGAAACAAGGGAGGGTTCCCATGTTGCATTTGCAACAATAGGGGTGGTAAACACTTTCCCCCGTGGGATGGGGCCAAGGGTAAGTTGGGTGATAAGGGGCATGGGGTTATGGGTTCCCCACGCCCCCTGCCGGGCCCCCACAGATTCACCATGATGTATAGCAAATCCATAGGTTAAGGTGATAAGGTCCTCAGAGGTTTACCTGCAATGTCACTTCTGCTGGTCATGTGGCAGGGCACCCTGTTGTGAGCTCAGCAGGAGTGACATTGCCAGCAAGACTTTGCAAGGGAGCTATTTAGGATGGGCAGAGTTGGGTCTGTTGGACATGCATACACTAGACAGGAACAGATCCAGACTAAACCAGCTGTTCAACCTCTAAAACATCAGGAGCATTCCTGTTGTTGCTGAGAATTCAGGCATAAATCTCATTTTGCCTTGCACCATATTAATGGCTAGATGCAACCCTTCTGCTGTGAATCCAGCCATATGTAACGTGGACGCCACACAACAGTTGAAGGATATATTTGCCCTTTATTTTCCCTATGTAAACATGCTCTGATCTTGCTGATTCAGGGTTGTGGCTTCCTTGATTTAGTCTGTCTGGAATGAGGTGCTCCTCTTTTCCTAGTACCTTCTATCTTACCAAGCATTGTTGTTTTATTAAAGCTTAAAACCCTGGATAAAAAAAGAAAAATATTTCAATATTTTGTGCATCTTGTGAATGCCATTTAGGAAAAAAATGTGCTGCTTTCTTGCATCTCCTCCCCACCCAAACATATGTGCCATGGGAATATGATGTTAAAATTACACTTCCACTATAACTCTATATTAAAACACAGGTGGTGCTCTATTGAAAGTGTCTTGGAAGTCTTTAGGGATATTCTGTGCATATGAGAAAATTATAGAAGATGCTTTTTTTCAGCAGTTTCTGTATCTGCACAGATTTTATATTGCAGCTTGCGTCTCACCTCTTGAATTAGTGTGAAACCAACTATTTTTTAGTATAAGATCACTAAGGTTTCCAGGCATCAAAAGCATAATATGAAAATGTATGGAAACCCAGTGGAGTATTTCAAAGATATATGCAGACATTTGGAAAGCAAAATCTTTTTAAAATGCTCCTTTCTTAATTTAGTGGAGCCCTAGGGAAACTGTAAATTATATGTTGACAGTTTCCATATGTGTTATGTTACTCTTTGGACCTACAATTCAATATAAGATGTGGTTTTTAACAGAACCCAAGTTCCATTTCATTCAAAAAGGATGACTCTGATACCAAATATCATCATGGAAAAATGGATTCCAATGTCAGATGGCCTTCCAGCATTATCAACAGGGGAAACAAAGAACGAAGAACTGCGAACTTTCCCACAGTTGCTTTCAATATATTATTATTTTTCCTCAGCTGATAGTGTAACAAAAGATTTACAGTTACAAACCATAACCCCAACGGAAGCTGTTTTGATTCACCAACTCTTAAAACTGATCCTTTCAATCCAAGCTAGAAAGTAGCCATTGTACCATCACTTTTGGAACATAAGATATTTACCGTATTTATTTATTGTACTGTTGCTGGTTTTAATTTGGTTTCATATGTAGAAATATTTGATTCTCTGCTGTGGGTTTTTTCATGGGTTTACATTCCACTCCTTTGTTATTGTTTTATTTTTGAGAGCATAGCAAAGGCAACATGTCCACATCCATACTATATCTGCCCATAGTTTCCTGTCCTCAAAAGATTGTTTATATAAATATCAAAAATTGCCCTAAACACACCAGAGACATTTGAATGGAATCCACTTCTGTTTTATGTGTACTAGTGGCCACTTTAGTCACTAGACATTTTATTTGCATCATAAAATCCACTGGAGATGTTTCAAGAGCCAATTCATTTCAACACTGTGTTTCTGGTAATAACTGAAATGTCTCCCTGTGCCATCTCTTTGCTCATTTCCATTCAATTATGGACATCAGACAAAGCAAGGTCAATCAATTTCCACACTGGAGTAGATAAAAAAAATTCTCATTGATATGAAACCTATAACCAGTTGCTACAAATCCAACTACTGTATGAATTAGCTTTGGTACTATGGACACATCTACACTGATCCAGTATCCGGAGGGGGGGGGAGGTGGGCTTCATGGCAGAGAAATGCTGAACAAAGCTGATTTAGTTTAATGTTTCCTTTTACTTCATTAACAAAAGTCATGGGTTGCTCCAAATTCTTCAAAGGAATATGGAGCAAATCATGATTTTGGGCCTGTTTAAGCAAATGTACTGGTCCTGAGAGTGTGAGCACCACAACTGACTCCAAGAATTGGTGGGATGGATTGGGCCCATGTTGCCCCATATTACCATGGCAGATGACCAGAGCTCTGCTCCCTCTTTCTCTTTGAGTACCCAGATACCTCTGCAAAGGTGCCTGGTAATAGCAAAAAACCTCTCCTCAAGCTCTGTAGCCTTTTGGAGATGTGACAGGGACAAGAAAGGTAAGGTGATGGTTCAGTAGGTCAGAACCAGTTTTGACCTGGCAGGACCATGAGGATTCTTTCCCACCAAAGGATGGTGATAGTGAAGGAGTGTGTGGCCACCTCTGGGATACAAAGTATTGCTTACTGTTTTTGGAAGCTGTCTTGGTCCTGCTCTAGAAAAAAATTGAAATATATAGTAAATAAATAGATGTTGCTACTCTGGACTGGCCCCAGATGTTGAGGTAGGTGTAGATGAGTCCTTCATCTTCAAAAGGCTGCTTGATTGCTCCCCTCCTTCCTTTTTATTCTGTGACAAACAAACAAGGCTGTCTCTTTGAAAACTGCTATTATGGAGGAGCGATATATGGCAGGAGAAGTTTTTAAACTCACTGTCCTGGACAGGTATAGGCAGGAGCCTTCACTACCATTCCCTTCAGTGTTGCTATCCAATCACCTTATCTAAAGTATGGTTTTTAACGTATGATATTCATAAAAGTAGTAGGGTTGCTCTGTCATAGAAACAACTGATACAAAAGAACTATATGGTGTGTGGGTCCACTTTCTATCAATTTCCCAGTGTTACAACTACTGTATGGAAGCAGCTCATGGAAGGTTACATCTAGGATTTGAGTTAGCTCCAAATCAGCCCCATTGATTTCAGTGGGACAATGTGCAGTATCGCCTCATCTACACTGCCATAGTCAAATTACATTATATAAGTCTACACTGACAATATAATGCAGTTTCAAACTGTATTATGTGGCACTGTAGATGCAGCCTATGACTAAACGCTTTCCCTAGAGATGTAAAATGCATACACTGAATTTTTGTCGGATTTGTAAGCCTGCCTTGAGTACCCTTCCAGATCATGAAAGGTGAGGGAGAAATGAAGTAAATACATAAATAAATAAATAAATAAATAATACTCATTTTGAACAACAAGATGCAAGGGGAGGGAGAAAATCTATTACAAAAGTGAGATACATCAATATATCTTACCATCTGCCATCTCTGCACAGAGCTGCAATCCTAAATTATTCTGTGGATTAATCACCCAGTGATTGCTGGTCACAGTGATGTCAAACACAAGCCAGCCAACATCAGAGGCTTGCGTCTGTCTTGTGTCTAATAGGAAGAGGTCAGCATCCCTAATTTGAAAATAGAAAAAAGACATTGAGAAATGTGTACCAATTAGGTCAAAGGTTTTGCATTTTTGTCAGTGATCTAACAGTGAAACATTTGTTTTTGCTTGGTAAAAGCAAACTAAACAAATGGGCATATTAATGTTGACATCCTCTGTTGAAAATTAAAGTTATAATCTACAAATCCGCTAAATCAAGTTACTTCAACTTAACTCCCCAGAATATTCACATTGGCAGAGTTGTGTCATAAGGACCATAAAAATCCTATCACAGAAGGAAGAGACATTGTCCATATTGTATTGTTATTATTATTATTTACTTTATATATATTCTGCCTTCCTCTCTGAAAGTACTCAAGCCAGCTAACAGTCACAGAGTTTGATCAATTTAAAACAAAACAAATACAAAAACTAAAAAAAAAAACAGTACTATGTGTGTTAGGTTAAAATGCAGCTAAAATACACTTATAATGTATTTTTAAAAACCCAATTGCCCCCCCCCATCCTCCCCGCCCCCAATTGCAACCACAACCTCCCCAGCAACATGCCCCTTATCCTTCCCCAAATGCTTGCCCACAGAAAAAAGTCTTGCCTTGCTTCTGGAAGACCAGTAGTGATGAATCCCTCCTGGTCTCTCTTGCAAGGGAGTTCCAGTCTGTGAGCAGCCACTGAAAAGGCCCTTTCCCATGTTCCCATGAAGCACATTGAGCAGGCGGTGGGATAGAGAGAAGACCCTCTACGGTAAATCGTAGATGTCTACCAGGTTCACAGAAAGTGATACGATCCTTCAGATAATCGGGATTAGAACCACACAGGGCTTTGTAAGACAAAAACAGCACATGTAGCTAGTGGACCTGCCACAACAGTGGAGTTATATGCTTCCTGTAGCCAGCACCAGTTAGCAGTCTGGTTGCTGCACTTTGGACCAACTGAAGTTTCTGAGCACTTTTCAGAGGTGGCCCCACGTAGAGCACATTACAGGAGTCCAACTGCGATGTAACCAAGGCATGTACCACCATGGCCAGATCAGACTTCTCCAGGAATGGGTGCAGTTGGCACACAAATTTAAATTATGCAAAAGCACACCTGGTTACTTCTGATACCTGCACTTCCAGGTTCAGAACTAAATCCAAATTGTGAACCTGCATTTTCAGTGCGAATGTGACCCCATCTAACACAGGCTGAATCCTGATTCCCAGATCTATCTTTTGACTGACCAGGAGCATCTCTGTCTTGTTTGAATTAACCTTCAATTTGTTTGTCCTCATTCAGTCCATTATAGCTGTCAAGACTGGTTTATCACAAAAACTGCTAAACCAGTGTCAGAGTAATAGAGTTAGGTGTCATCTGCATATATATGGCACCACACTGCTCTCCCAGCAGTTTCATGAATATGTTAAACAGCACAGGGGATAAAATGGACCCCCTATTACCTACTGGCAACATCCAGGTAGGTCTGATGTGATCGGATTTCCAGCATACAAATCTATGAGAATACAAATATTCCATACATTTACAGGGAATTCTAGTGAAAAGGTGGATAATAGGAAAGAAATAAAAAAGCTACACTTCCGCTTCAGAGCACACAAATGGTATTTCAGGATTCATTTTCATGATTAATGAATAAAAGCAATACATTTGTTTGGCTTGCTAAAGAAAATATATTTTTATATATATAATTTTTATTGTGCATTTTGATATTTACAAACAGAAACAAAAATATTTTTGAAATATTTTTAAATTGGGGTGCTCCTAGAATATTTTTAAAAACCCACCTTCTCCCATATGAATTTGTTAGACATTTGAGATATTCAGAAAAGGCACCGGGACTGTGGCACAGCCGGCTGGGTGTCAGCTACATTTATTTATTTATTTATTTAGAGCTTTTATAACCCGGTCTTCTCGACCTCTGATGAGGGACTCAGGCTGGCTAACAACAGAGAATCAATATACAAATAAACTAAAGCATAATAACATCATAGTACATTAATATCACATAATATTAAGATCACTACTGACCAAAAGGTCATGAATTCGAAGCCAGCCTGGGTCAGAGTGAGCTTCTGATCAATTTGTGTAGCTTGTTGTGAACCTTTGCAGCCTGAAAGACAGTTGCATCTGTCAAGAAGGAAATTTAGGTATCGCTTATATGGGGAGGCTAATTTACGACACCATAAAAATCTCCAGCAAGCATGCAAAGAATGAGGAAATACTTCATCAGTGTCACAAATGGACGGTGAAGCAACAGCTCCCCTGGTGGCCAGAATACCCTCATGAAAAAGCTGGAATGTTAAATAGCCCCTGTGTGTCTGTCTACATATGTTGTGGGTCTATGGCATTGAATGTTTGCCATGTATATGTACATTGTAATCCGCCCTGAGTCCCCTGCGGGGTGAGAAGGGCAGAATATAAATACTGTAAATAAAATAAATATAAATAAACAACATGTCCAAACTCTTTGAGAAGCTAGGTTGGTGGGTACACAGAACAGTAGCAGCACCCCAAGAGTAAGGCTCCTCATCCAAAAAAAAAAATGGGCTGGTGCCATCCCTCTTAAACTTCCAACAGGAGGCAATATTAGTACTGTTCCGTCTGACATTGGATGTCTGCAAATGCTCTGTGTTTACTAGTTAAAATTAGATTTTAGGATTATTCTTAGGAGTTATTAAAGATCACAAGCTGGGGATGCCCTACCTGGAAATCCCACATAGTTTGAATCAGCTGTGCCATAGGAGCCCTTCCAACTCAATGATTCTATGATCATTTGAGTATCTTTTAAAGATGTTTTTATTTCCACAGTATTTTGATTGCTTTTTATTTGTTCATTGTCTTGGATGCAGGTGGAAGCCAATACAGAAATACTCTAAATAAATGATAAATGCATAAAGAGAAGAGACATAACTTAAGTTTGGTTAGTTGTTTAGATATTTTGGGTATAATGTTTCCACATATTTCTGGAAACAGAAAACCTAAGTATACACTTACTACTAATGGAATATTTCTATTAAAATTACTTATGTTGACGAGCATGAATGTGGCAAAGCTAATCTGAACATTCATTCATGGGCTTAGTGTGCCTAAGAAGCTGTCCCACTAACACACACAAAAGTCCTACACAGCATATAGATCAAGAAAATAAATGCCGCTCTTGGTTCTGTAAAAATAAATAGAGTTGAGCCATATAGTACATCCCTTGTTGCAGTCAAATTAAACTTGGCTTGTCGTCCTCATATTTTAGGGCAACGTGTATTTTTTCAAAACTAGTCATTTAAATTGTGCATGTAATCCCCTACATTTGCTCATCCATAACTTAACTAATCATTTACATGATGAAATTGGAAAATTGGATACCTGTGAATTTTCCTTCTGGCACCCTCACTGGACAGCAGTACAACAGATGAGTTGTTCAGCCTTCCAACCACTAGGAGAAAAAGACTCCGGGTAGGGGCTGAAAACAGACAGGCTGGTATTAGGAACCACTGCTCTGTTCTGAATCCAAATCTATATCTTTTTCCCCAAAACATGCCAGGCTGTTGCTGGATTTACATGGGCTGTATTGAGGGCTGCCATGAAACTCCACACTATATCAATACAGAGGCAAATGCTAAGTATTTGAGGATGAACCTTTCCCTGTGGTTCACAAAAAGGTGAAATCTCTCATCAAAGAGCCACGAATAGCCCCAGCACTGGCTTCCATTGAAAGTAGTAAGAATACACAGAAGCTAGTTCTAATTCTGAGCAGAGCTCGGAAAAGTTACTTCCCAGAATTTCCCAGCTGGTAGGACCACTGGTGGTGCAGCAAGTTAAACTGCTGAACTTGCTGACCGAAATGTTGGTGGTTCGAATATGCGGAGCGGGGTGAGCTCCCACTGTTAGGCTCCCACTCTTAAGCTTCTATCAACCTAGCAGTTTGAAAACATGCAAATGTGAGATCAATAGGTACCACTTCTGTGGGAAGGTTACGGTGCTCCATGCAGTCATGCTGGCCACATGACTTTGGAGGTGTCTATGGACAATGCTGGCTCTTCAGCTTAGAAATGGAGAGGAGCACTACCTCCCAGAGTCAGACACGACTAGACTGAATGTCTAGGGCAGTGGTTCTTAACCTGGGGTCCCCAGATGTTTTTGGCCTTCAACTCCCAGAAATACTAACAGCTGGTAAACTGGCTGGGATTTCTGGGAATTATAGGCCAAAAATATCTGGGGACCCCAGGTTGAGAACCACTGGTCTAGGGAAAACCTTTACCTTTACTTAGGACCACTGCTTCCATTAATTGAGGTAATGTAGTTGCAGTTTCCTCCAAGGTGTGATTTTGAGTCTGTCCCATTAACAAAAACATACAAAGTTCTGGGAGTTGTGACTCAATGAAGTAGGAAAACTTTTCTAGACTGCGCCCTTTCATATCACAGATGGGGTGGGGAGAAAAAACTCACAACCCCATGTTCTAGCTTTCAAAAGGATTTCTCCACATATGAATCTGTCAAAAAGAAAGAGTTTCGTGGAGCCATCCTTCTAACAAGATAATGTTTGAAGTACAGGGATTATTTCTGTGTGGATGAAGTTTAATCATATTTTCAAAATGGTAGATCTCAAAGTAAGGTTTGCCAGAGTTTTTGCTGTATGTTATGCCAAAGGATCCATGATCAATATTTTTGTTGTTTTGTTTTGTTCTAAATTACAGCACAGAATTCAGCAGCTGTTGGTTTGATTGTAGCAGAGGTCAATCCCTTTCCATATTTGATAATTTCACCATCTTCTGAAGTTTTTAAAAAACCTTGGGAATTAGGATGAATGGAGGAAGATGTGGAATTGATAGTGCCCAACAGGGCCCCCTGGTGGTGCAGCAGATTAAACTGCTGAGCTGCCAACCTTGCTGACCAAAAGGTTGGCAATTCAAATCCAGAGAGCAGAGTGAGCTCTCACTGTTAGGCCCAGTTTCTGCCAACCTAGCAGTTCAAAAACATGCAAATGTGAGTAGATCAATGAGTACCACTTCTGCAGGAAAG